GGCTATTTTTTGGTTGCAGCCGTCATTGTTGTTTTGGCGGGTCCGGGCTGGGGATTCGAACCCGCCACCTTAGGTGTACGTGGCTGGCACCTTAGCCGGTTGAGCTATAGGCGCCGCCAGAATATAATGTCTTAACACAATAACCAAGAAAATGCCGTGAAGGCTGTGTTGAAGTTTGATGAAAGCATTTCAGATTGTGTGTAAAACCAGCACATTGTATCCCATGATTGCATTAATGTACACAGCTATGATTTAATAATAATAATAATAAGTCACTTTAAGAAATCGGATTTTACTTGAAGAAAATAAAGACCGCCATAGAGACCCTCAAAAAAAATAAAAGAAAAATAAAGATTCTTGGAGGGAGTTTGAATGTAAAACTATTTCTGAGGCCCCCTTTCCGGTCCCAGTTTCTCTGATAGAAGGAACAGAGGACTCTGAAAGGAGGCCAATTCTTTTCATCCTAACCATGGGAAATTTGAAATAATTATTGACTTAATTTGTTTAATTTTTTTGGTCCCTAAAATACTTGGTTGAGCAAGACAAATCATCTTTGTCATGTCTTTCATTTCTAAAAATTGTCAGAGTAATAGTAAGTGAACAAGCTCAGGGAAAGCCCCAAGTGAGAGAAGGTCTAGTAACATCGTCGCCTTCTGAGTTTAAAAGTGCTTCTCTGGAGTTGAGGAATGAAGTTTTTTCTCAGATGTGGGTACAAGTTACAGTAAATTCTTGGCTCTTTCGAACCCTTAGGGATGAATCATTTTGGGATAAGTTTTTTATATGGTGAGTTTATACCTTTAATAACCAAAATGTTATAATAATATTTTGATGAAAAATTTAAAGTGTATCTTTGTTCTTACACTGAGGTAAGTGAATACAGTTTATTTTTATCAGTCAGGTTGTGTTGTGAATGTGAATTGTGCTGTAATCTGTACCTAGGGAGCTTAGCATGTGAAGTTGGAAGAGCCGGGCTGAAGTTTTACCACTGCTCCTCCGCTTGCCTGGGAACACTGAGCCCTTCTTAATCTCACGTCCCTCATTTTTAAAGAAATTGAGATAGGAAAACTTGATTTGAAACAGGTTTTCTGTAAATGATGGTGCTGTGATTATTGTGTTAGGAATTCTGTCTAGTCAGCTGAGCTGTACGGCCCTGTGCCGTGCGCTAGCTCGCTCTGGGCTGGAATTCTTGCTGTGCTTCTTGTTTTTCTGTCAACTTCACTGTTTTTTCTTCTTGACGCTATCGGTGCACCTGTGTGGGGTCTGTACCCATAGGATTCATAGGCTGCTGGCGTCTCCTCACTCATATCTTATACACAGCTCTAGTGGGAAGGCCTGGAAATATGTATATTTCATTTTTATAGATGGGATCTTGCTTTCTCACCCAAGCTGGAGTGCAGTGGTGCGATCATAGCTCGTGTGATCATCCCACCTCAGCCTCACGAGTAGCTGGGAGTACAGGCACCCGCCATGATGCCTGGCCAGTCGTGGATATTTATATGAAATTCCTGTGGCATTTCCTTTGGTGAACTCATATTTTGTGTGTGCTCCAAAACCAGCACTGTTGAAATGCTGTGTGTGTGTGCATGCCAGTCCTTACCCAGGAAGGAGCAGTGTCGGTCACTGGTCAGGATGCATGGTCTTAGGTATTTTTCTCATGCAGATGGGCACAAACATTCCTGGAGATTCTCCCTAAGGAGGCTTAGTTTACAGGGTACAGAAAGATCGTGCTACTTTCCTGTGACTGCTGGGCCCGTTGTCGAGAGTCTTTCCTTTCTGTTATTAATACACTAAAGACGTAATGTCGCACAGTACCTCTAAAATATTTTATTAAAGTTCTTTAGTCTTTAAGTCATTACTTGTATCTACATATCTTTGGACCTTTTTTTTTTTTTTTTTGAGACAGAGTTTTACTTTGTTGCCCTTGGTGGAGTGCTGTGGCATCACAGCTCACAGCAACTTCAAACTCCTGGGCTCCAGTGATTCACCTGTCTCAGCTTCCCAAGTAGCTGGGACTACAGGCTTCTGTGTGCCATAGTGCCTGGCTATGTTTTAGAGATAGGGTCTTGCTCCTGTTCAAGCTGGTCTTTAAGTCCTGAGCTCACCTGCCTTGGCCTCCCAGAGTGCTAGGATTACAGGTGTGAGCTGCTGCGCCCGGCCCTACATATAATTGGACTTTAAAAAATGTTCTCTTTCAGCCGTGAAATTGTATTCTTCCTTAGTATAAAGGTTTTGACGTTCTCTGTTCTAGAGTTACTATGAGAGTAATTTAATGTATCTGAGATGGTGGGTGTCAAGTGTTTAGTTGAATCACTGATGGGTCAGTTTAATCCAGCCTGAGGATATGCCTGAAAGAGCGAAATAGTAAGAGCTTTTGTTACCATCATAGGTTTTGTTTTTAGTTACTAAACAATGTCCCACTAATGCCTATTAACAAAAATTCTTTATTTTGAAATGATTACAGATTGGCAGACAGCTGTCCAGAGTGCCTGTGTTGTACCATTGAACTTTAACCTAAGGATATGTTCTTTTCTCTCTAATTTTTAAAGATTCTAGATTTATAGAGCAATTAGCAAACTTGTTTTAGAGCCAGTTTTCTAAAAACTGAAACTGCAGTAGTGGCTGAAGTTCAAGTGGTGTTGGTCAGGACTTGGCCTGTGACTGTGATGTGAGCATAAAGTGGTTTCCCTGGAAACCAGAAGTTCTGTGAGAAGGAGCAGATGTGGACTTTGTGGCAGCTGGCTCATGCCTGCTGAGCCTGTCAGCTTCCTGTAGTGTAGGTTTTGCAAATGGTCCTGGTAACCTTGAAGCCACAGTTGTCACAGTGACAGGTGGTAGCTGGGCGCCAGCTTAGCCATCAAGCTTCTCCCCACATGACTGAGATGGCTCAGCCCACACAAGGTCCTGCAGGCTGAACTGGGAGTAGGGGAGGACCAGCCCCATACACGAATAGATACTTGATCCTTAAAAAAACCCCACTCATTTGAAATATTTTCCATAAAAGTCTTAAGCTTTAGGCATTTAGGGTGATTTAAAATTAGCACCTTTTTTTTTTCCCCCACTCTGTATCCCTGGGTAGAGTGCCATGGCATCATCACAGCTCACAGCAATCTCAGACTCTTGGACTCAAGTGATCCTCCTTCCCAGCCTCCCACATAGCTGGGACTACAGGCACCTGCCACCATGCCTGGCTAGTTTTTCTATTTTTAGTAGAGATGGGTCTTACTCTTGCTCAGGCTGGTCTAGAACTCCTGAGCTCAAGGGATCCTCCCACCTCAGCCTCCCAGAGTGCGGGGGTCACATGCTGGGCATTCCTATTCATACATATTTATGTTAGACATATGAAATTGCCATTTTTGTATATGAAAATGGACAAATTTTGGCAGTTTCATGTGGTGCAACCTAATGTTTTCTGTCTTGTTGAAAATTCTTATGAACATGGAGCAGGTGGCTGGGGCTGTCTCTGACTCTATGGGATAAAGAGCTCAATTTCCCTCAAGAATGAATGAATTCTTCCACAGTACAGGCAATCTAGAGACTTTGAGAGGATATACCTGCTAATTCCTGCTTCACTGCGTTGGAGGGTAGACTGTGTCAACTAGTTTTTACTTCTAAATGTTAAATACGTTTGTATTTAAGCCTGCAGATTGAGGGTGAAGGCAGAGGGTGGCTGAGCCTACCATTGGAGCACACTGGGGTCTGCGTGGATGAGGCTGCTGTGTGTTGGTACTGTGGGGTGAGTTCCTGCTGGGGCTCTGCTCTCTGATGAAGCCTCCTCTGCTTGTGCTGCTTAACTCCTTGATCTTGAGCATGGAAGGAAAAGAAG